TCGAGTATAAGCCGAGGTGGCTTTTTTCAGCTCAAAAAGTGGGCTGAAAAACTAGGCTTATACTTGAGTATATACAGTATTTACAAAAAAAAACCTTCAAAGCTATTTATTATCAAAGCAAAGGTAAATCAGTAAAAACAAAGGCTGAAAGCCAGAATATTTACATCAGGAGTTGCAATTCCTTTCCAATTGAACATTTCAGGTAGCCTTTGGTTAACAAGGTAACTGGAATCAGAATGTCCATCATTAACAAATGTAGTTGTAAAATGCAATGCCAAATGGCCACATTACTTAGCCAAGTTTCTGTCAAAATTTCAGTAGCTTAATTTAACAAGACTGTTGGATGACTTGCACACATTGTTGAATCTTTAATCATCTTCAGTGTTACTGTTCAGTATAAACCTCCTAAACTAAGAAGGGAAACATTATGCTTTTGCCCATTTTTTCTATTCTGACATCCATCTCTACTTTGAATGCAGTTCTTGATATTGTTTTAAAGCTTACAAGTTACTGAGTATAAACAAGTATATAAGACAAAAATGATTTGTTTTGTACCCTATGAGAATGGGAAGGTGTTATATAGACTTGCCTCGCTGTTTGGATGTTTTATCAATATCATGCTGCAGTTTATTAAGATCACTTTCAAAGTCTTGACTTCCACAGACATCAAAAAGCTTTTCTTCATATGTGGACAGCTGTTCCTCCTTTTTCCTTAGTTCGGTGGTAATATGACTTTTGTTTTGTTCTGCTGAAACAAGTTCTTTGCTGAAAGGTAAGTACTACAATCAGAACTGAGGTTTTGTTTTGTTTTTTAAAGGTTCAAGTGATTTGATTTTCCTTTTCAAAAGGAAGCTTTTAAAAAATGTTCACTGGGTGGGCACCTCATCCCGACTACCAAATGATGTTCATCAATTCAAAACAACTTTATTTTCTCTTTGTTACTTAGATTGCTGTGGCATGTATACATGGCTTAGTTCAGACAATATTAGAATACACCATCTGTAGGACTGTATTATGGCTTTGTGCAATTGTTTCTCTATTTCAGGATATCAGTAACTTCCTTAATTTCCTTGATACCTCGCCCATAGTTTTCCATTTTGTATGAATCAAGAAATAGTTTGTAAATTGAATTCTTATCTCAGTTTGGGGTTTAACTGTGGTTGTAATTTGCCTAATATGGATATTACCAAAAACTAATAAAAGAATCATACTTTATTTTTTTTAAAACAAGCTTTTTACGCTTTCATCTTCAAATGAGTTTATAATCTGAAAGGAATAGATGCTTTTGTTTAAAAGAGAATACTCAGAAGAAATGATTCAAATTTTAGGCAGGTCAAATAGCATAAGCAAACATTTTAAACTATAGCACAAAGAATAACCCTCCCAATCATATATGTACTTGTAAAGTTTTACTTGATAAACCCAGTGGACACAATCCTTCTCCCTCCTATATCACTCAGTAACCCAAACAGTGAATCATATGGTTTGCACATTCTACAGGTCTACCACAGCTACCATACCACAACTCCAAGTCTGATTCTCTACTTCCCTCTACCCTAAATCTGTCTCATCTACTTCCTCCATCAAAGTTCTGTTCTGATTTAAGGTTTAAACAACCGCATACTGGGGGTCACTTAGGAACAGCCTTCACCCAAACAAATTTCCTTAACTCTCAGATCTACCAAAAACCACTTACCTGTTTTCCCACTCCCCAACTCTCTGTTAGACTTTGTAGCAAGGCATTAGATTGTAGAACTTTTGTTAGATTTTTTCTAATGTTAACTAAACACTGATCATTTCCAGTTTAATTTAATTAAATGCATTCTCTCTGATGGTACCATGATATAATGAATGCTCTAACTCGAGCCATTTAGCTTGGTCTCATTACTGCTTAACTTTATTTTTATTAATAATAATTTATTAAAGATTTACAAAAAAAACCTAATACAAACTAAAAGAAAAAAAGAAAAAAATTGGAAAGTGCAGAAAAGAAAAAAAAGAAAAATAGAGAAGAAAGAAAAAATAAAAATGCAGGTAGTCCTCAACTTACAACCACAATTGGGTCTGGAATTTCGGAAGCCCCGAGAGGTCCAATACAAGCTACATGAAAGTTGGGAAAGTGAGCAGCTCAGGAATGCCAGGGAAAGAATACACTGCCGCTCAGGGGCTTGTTTGTATACTGTAGCTCTTGGGTTACAAGAAGCTTCTGAGTTGCAGTGCAGCGTGAAGTCATAGCTACCTCTGGAAGCCTCAGCTGCCCCAAAGGGGCTTCTTGGTATACCATGGCTCTGGAGCAGGGGTGGGTTCCAGCAGGCACTACTGCCGGTTTGCTCATGGACGCGCTGCGTGTGCGTGCTGCGAGTGCATGCACAGTGCAGTTAAAATTGTTCTGCGCATGTACAGGGCCCAAAAACAAGATGGAGGCATCTATGGTGCTGCCCGGAGAACTGGTTTGGGGGCATGGCAGGCCTGGGTCGCTGCTGGTTCCAGCAACCCAGGTCGCCAAACCATTACTGGTTCGGCCAAACCAGTCCGAACCGGTAGGAACCCACCACTGCTCTGGAGCTGCAAGAAGCTCAGTGCAAAACAGCTTCTCCAGGAAGTCCTAAGGAAACCCCACTAGCATAGAATCTTCTTCTCCATCTTGCCCAGGTCTCTCAAGAACAGGCAAGCTGTTTAGATAACAGCATTCCTGATTGGGACAACAGAGAGAATCACCTTTGGAAGAAGGTCTAGTGGTGTGATGCTTGAGGCAACATGACTCAGTGGAAGCAGCAGTGCTTGGGCTGAAGAAGAGGGCAGTGGCAGCTGACTGAGCCTGCCAAAGTTCCTGGGCTCTACTTCAACCCTAGCCCCAGCCCTGCCAAGAAGTGCTGATGTACAAAGCAGCCAAAGAGACATAGATGTGGGGGAGCTTAATGAGAGGGCAGGGGGGAGATGAAGCATCCCTGCAGTTGTAAGTGTGGGCAGGCTCCATTATAGCTGTGAGTCAAGGATTACCTGTATTCAGATAATTTGGGGGCTGAGAGAACACTGTTTGCAGTCTTAGGTCCTTGTTTGAAAAGAACTAACCAAAATATTGAAAATAATCCCTCTTTTAAGGCAATCCATTATACACAACTCTTAATTTATAATGTAATTCAAAGTACATTTCAAAAAGTTTATTTAGATCAGGGTTGTCAAACTCGCGGCCTGCAGGCCAGATGTGTCACGTACTGGCCAAGCCCATGTCTGAAGGGGGGGAAAGCCCTGATAAATCACGTGACGCTGCCTTGACGACATGAGTTTGACACCCCTCATTTAGACTGTATTCTGTACTAATGTTAAAAAAGTGAAAGACAAATATAACTCATGTTAATCACTACATTTCACTACAGCAAATACAATTAGTACTTACTTGAGCTTGGCAAGCTTGTCTCTTGTTTGGTTAATTTCTTTAACTCTTGAGTGAAGCCAATCTTCAAGCTGATTTTTGCTTGGGAAAAATCCCAACAAGCAGATTAAATCTTCATTGTGTCTAAATTTAATTTTTCTGATTTGGTCTTCTTTGTCAGCCTTAAAAAAAAAGAAACAACAGTTTCATCACTTATAAGCAAGAAAGTATTTCTTGTTCTGTAAATATTGAACTAGCTTAGACTTAATAATATACAAAAAGAAAGCTTTATACATTTTCAATATATTTTTGTCAATACTATTAAATAAACATTGTTAAATGCTACATGGATGTGGGAAATTATGTTAATCTGAGTACTCCAAATGATGGATCGAGCATTATACTGGAACTAGCTGTGGCTTTCATGGAAACTTGACATCATTTGTGTCAAATATTTCAAGCATAAGAGTGTCTGATAAAATACCCTACTTTATCTTTTTTCAGCATGTCCATTTGGGTTATAATTGCAGTATTCAGGTTCAGTTGTTCCATCTCTTTATCCAGTTTCCGAAGAGTACCGTCCAAATTTGTCTTTTCTCTTTGCAGTTCCTTAATTTCCATTTCTAGGGTTTCAACGTTGCAATTTTTCTCAGCTTCAGCTAATTCATGTTTCTAAAAGGAAATAAAAGCAGATTTTTACCTCCATTTAGTTATGCATAAAACTGTATTTACTGAATTAATACTAATCCTAGTGATAGATACCAGATATTCTTTATAGCCGCTGAAGGAAACATCTCTCAGTCATTACCACAATTGCACTTTCCTATGAAAAAAGCATCTGAATACAGAAATAGTGCTACATTAAGTGTGCCCTTCTCAAACTGATGGGTTTCTTCCACATATGCAAGTGAAAAAAAGTGATATGCTCAGACTCCTGTCTATACCAAAATAGCCTCTTGTGTTCTGTTCTGATATCTGACAGGTAACAAGGTGACAATTAAGAAGATATTTTGGTGGCACCTTCTTCACATTTCATCATCAAAGGGGAATGTATGTCCTGCTTTAGGGACGTGGTGGCTCAGTGGCTAAGATGTTGTGCTTGTTGATTAGAAAGATCGGCAATTCAAATCCCTAGTGCCGCGTAATGGAGCGAGCTCCTGTTACTGGTCCCAGTTTCTGCCAACCTAGTAGCAGTTCGAAAGCATGTAAAAATACAAGTAGAAAAATAGGAACCTTTGGTGGGAATATAACAGCGTTCCGTGTGCCTTTGGCGTTTAGTCATGCCGGCCACATCACCATGGAGACGTCTTCGGAAAGCGCTGGCTCTTCAGCTTTGAAACGGAGATGAGCACCACCCCCTAGATTCAGGAATGACTAGCACAGATGTGCGAGGGNATGCACATTTATTTATTTATTTATTTATTTATTTATTTATTTATTTATTTATTTATTTATTTATTTATTTATTTATTTATTTATTTATTTATTTATTTTCTCACGTTTATGTAGAGTCTATTGGAGGTGATGACCCTTTGTGAGCTGTATGCAACGAAATTTTAATGTGTGTTGATTAGTGCACATTTATAGTGACAATAAAGTTATTCTAAGTTCAAAGGTGAGATAAGACAATTTGGGGGAGAGTTGTGTGAAATTGACTACAAGCAAAAAGGTTAGTTGCCTGAATTCAGCACTGGACCCCTTTTTCCACCTCTCTGAAATTGTTTGCTTCTTATCTATTCAGGTCCTTGATTTTTTTAAAATGATACTTCTGAGGAAGGAGCTGGTTTTCCTTGTGTGCCCATGATCACCAGATTTTAAACCTTGAGATTCTTGACGTGCTTATAGAAATCATGGGTCTTCATCAAGTTACATCTCAGAGAAGCCTTTAGACTCAAGAGAGTCATGAATATTTAACTGTCTTCCAATCTGATATGAAAACATTGAATATATTTTTATATATCTCATCTTATTTTTTTTCAAGTTTATAATGATTGATAAAGAAGAACTGGACACACACATTGCTACCATCCAACAAGTAAACCAGGAGCTTCACTAACATAATCTGCATGCTAATCTTGAAGAGTGCACTTCAGTTTGCCTATATTTGAGTTATCACATTTCCATGGTTAGGTCTGAATAAAGTGACTTCTTTTTGGGGGGGATGGGCGGGGCAGACGGACGGACCTCTAAGGGATTTACAGTATTTTCTTCTGTTGTAAAATTTGTTCCTATTTTTTTTCTGGATTTACCAAGCTATTCCCACGTTTAACCAAAATAGGTATTCCTGATGGATGACAGTACACAACCACTTTCATCCTCTCTGAGATTTTTTTTAAACATACATAGCCACCGATCTTTCTTCAGAATTCAAATTCAACTGAGAATTGAAATGATGGATTGTTGCACTGTAGCTAACTAGGTACAATACATAAACTTTAAGAACCATCTCGGCTCCATTGTTTAGGAGCATTGCAGAATGGGCTAAGTAGAGTCTATCTTTAGCGTTATACTGTATATTGTATGTAGCACAACATTTCTCAAGTTCTCAGAGCATGAAGATACCCAGCCATTATAGAGAAAATCAGGAAAAACAAATGACAAAAGCCAGGAAAAAGTAAACAAAACAATGCAAATTTTTTTTTAAAAAGTGAAATTTTAAACCCTAACAAGCAACTCCTCAACCATTACTACTGATATCTGATGGGACACTTATTTATAAAGAAAGTTTATATAGGAAATATCCACCTAAATCAATAACAGAGTCATCTTATTTCCCATTAAAAATGGACAGATAGATAGGTAGATGACTTTAATTTGGAAAAGCTTTAAAGTTGTAATGTTATTTTCTGACTTTATCAACTGGAAATCCATTTGTGGACATTCTAGCTGCAAAGTTTCCCTAACTTTTCTCTCACTTCTCTCCTGCTGATGATTCTGCTTATCTATACATGGCAGTTGGGTTAAATGTATAACTTCAAGATAACCCACATAGATTTACTACACTATTAACCCAGATACTAGCAGCTGTTTATGAGACCAGGAGACATGTAGCATTAGCACTGCAAGCCAGTTATGATGATTAAATTCTTCCTCTGCTCCATAGCCTCAACTAGATATAAGAAGGTTAAAGAAGTAGATTTGCTGCAAGAGTTAAGAAGACATACTTATGAAGTTTTTCATATAACAGGATCCTAGAATACTGCACACTATATTTGTCAGATGAAAAAATTAAATCCTGAACCTTTTTCTCTCACCTTTTCAATTCATATTTGTCAAGTATTTTGTCAACAGTATTTTGTCAAGCTACCCAGAATTTTCTGGAATGGGGCATTTTACAAATCCATCCTTCCTTCCTTCCTTCCTTCCTTCCTTCCTTCCTTCCTTACACTTCCAGACATTTTTTTTAGCTTGAAGTTTTCTTCTTATTTATAAAATGTCTTTTTCTATTGTGAGAATGAGAAATTCCTGCCTCATTAGCTCAAACCCTTTCACACAATCTAAAAACACCATGGATAAACAAATTTACTGAAAACTGATAATAAAAAATATGTATGTAAATTATTATATTTCTATTGGGTGTTAAACTTTCTTCTATATTTTTCCAACATACATATGCCTGAAAAATAAAAATTTGCCATGTAGTTTCATTATGTCTGTTTCTATTTTTGTTTGTTATCTATGTTTATCAGAACATTGAATAGAGGCCTTGATTAGGAAATAGACATAATAGAGAACAGTGAACCTTACTTTAAACTCAAGTAAGATGGGATTTGGAAGATAAATGGTTATCTAGTCTACAACTAGGTTTATATGAATATGAAATATGAATGAATTGATCCTTCATTTATACAAGCTTCTTAAATCAATAATAAACTATTCTGTTCTTTTTATCTATGATCCACCCAAAATAACTTGGCAGATATTTGAATAGATATAAAGTTAAGTCTAAAATACAAATTCCCTATAAATTTTAATCGATATTATGGCATGCTTTCCATGTTAATGGTGCTTAAATGGTTAACATTTTATTGTTGGGAATTTAAAATATGCAGTAGTTACCTTTGAGTCATGTTCATTTCCTATTTTCTATCAACAGTTTTGCTGAGTGACAAAAATAAATTATTTGAATAGAATGCAAAAGGACTAAGCAAAGGAAGCAATTGTTCTGGGCACCCTGACAGAACAAATAATTCTGACAGATAGATGGTGAACAGGTCAAAGTTTGATAAGAAGGTCTGATGAAAGTTTGCTTAAAAGCAGAGTTTGCCAACAAACAGCTTTAAAAAAAAATTCAGGGTGACCCACCATTTTTCACAAGTTTAAAGAGAAAGCAATCACTGACTTCATTCACAGACTTAATTTCTGGTTTGTTCTGTACCGATGACATTTTGTTGAAAAACTATTTATAATAGAGAGTGGGTGGACAGAATTTTGTTTGTCTTTCTGGCACAAATTGTATGTGCTCACATTGTATGTGGCAGTGACCACTGGCTGACTTTCCCACCCCAGCACCCTTCCTTCAGGTTGCTGTTTAATTATCTTGGTCTGCCTTAACATCCTATTATGATAGCAACTATCATTTATAAAGTAAAAACTGTATTAGGAATTCCATAGGTCACCCTATGATACAGTGACAGCCATGTGGTTTGGAAAAAAATGTTGAATCCTCTAAGTGTTGTCTAAGACTCTCTGCCTGCAACCCCTTCCACCTCTTCTTTAAAGCATTTAAGAGCAAATACTCCATTAGAATATATTCTATATGATCAAATTTAGATATTGTATTGGGAAATAACTGAATAAAAGAGCTGGAAGGTACCTTGGATGTCTTCTAGTTCAACTCCTGCTCAAGCAGGAAATCTTATACCATTTCAGACGAATGGTTTCCAATCTCTTCTTAAAAACTTCCAGTGTTGGAGCATTCTTAACTTCTGGAGGCAAGTTGTTCCACTGATTACTTGTTCTAACTGTCAGAAAATTCCTCCCTAGTTCTAGGTTGCATCTCTCCTTGATGTCAGACCTGGAAGCCATCTTTTATACTGGGCCTTCAGGCCTGCCACATTTTCTGCTGTGGGAAAATGGGAAAACATTACTTGGAACCCTGACACTTGATTAGTTTTGATCCATTGTTTCTTTTCAATGAGGTTCTGTATTGCAGGGGTGTCAAACTCATGTATCACAGCGGCATCGCATGACATATTGGGACTTTCCCCCCTTCGCTAAACCGGGCATGGGCGTGGCCAGTGTGTGACACATCTGGTCCATGGGCTGGGAGTTTGACAACCCTTCTGTATAGCAAAGGTTCCAAATCTTGTCAACTTTAAGACATGTGGACTTTAACTCCCAGAATATCTGAAGGGAGCTAGGAAATTCTGGGAGTTGAAGTCCACATGTCTTAAAGTTGTCAAGATTGAGAATTCCTGTTGTAGAGAATCAAACCTCCAACTCCTCTGAATACTTTTTCAGTTAAGTAGGATTATGCAAATTTTTATGGTTACTCAGAAGTATGAGTATATAGTAGTAAGCAGGACAGATTCAACAGAAACCTCTATTGCTTAGGTTCATTTTAATAATTTTGACTGGACTTTTCAGATCCACCACAACTGAGCACATTTTTGGAGAGAAAGAAAAGTGTTTTCAAAGTTCAAATGCGAGTCCAAAGCAAATTCCAATAG